AAGTATAAAGTTTGCAGGGAAAAAGAGCTATTTTAGCATTTAGGTCACAGTCAAAGTCACAAGGTCAATGACGTTTGTGTCATTTGAAAGAGCTTAATTAGTGGAGTATGCATACCAAATATAAAGTCTCTATCTGTTATGGCGAAGGTTAAAGTTTGCAGACAAACAGACAGAAAGACAGACAGACAAACATACAGGACAAAAAAATTATATACAATACACTTTACGCCCCGGATCTATCGATCCGGGCGCATGAAATAAAAATATTGTTTACCTTAGAATTTAAACGTATCAGATAGGAAACAATTAGGTCATACTTCATCCACATTGAACAAAGGGCACTACAAAAACAGATGACAGGTTTGTGGATAGAATTTCATTATCCACCCATACTTTTATCAAAATATGGCCATTTTCTGACGAAATAGTTTTATTTGTCCTTCCATTGTAAGATTTGGAGAGAAATCTGTTAGCCTTTGTGATTAAAACGCTCTGGAGCATGTCACGTATCTGATTTGATAAAGCATGGGCAGAATGGTGGAAGATATGCAAAGGAATTGAAAAGGCATATGATACTGACGCCTAATTTTATTACTTTTGTCGAAGCAATATAATGCAATTAGCAAAGCTTTTAATCACCCTTTGTACTGACAACAAAAATGAAATCTTTCTTTCCCTCAAGCTTTAAGGGGGCCGACTATAGTTTCCATTGCGCAATATTTCGCGCATCATAGTTAAATGAAGCGTATTTACTGTTTTAATGCAACTTTTTTCGCTTTATTATTAAAATTAAATAAAATTAAGAAATTAAAGGTAAAAAAATGTAATTACAATTTGATATAACTGATTTTTTAACCGATTTTGCATATGATAGGTAGGTTGACGTCGTTGCAGTGTGTTTTTGACGTTATGATAATCTGTAGCTCTTAAAGAAAGGGGTAATAAAAATATTATTCAAGAAAAAGTAATAAAAATAGGCTCTTGAAATTAAAAACATAGAAACTTGAGAATATCTCCAATATATTTATTATGTTTTAATGTGAATCCATTGTGTACGTCATATTTTGTAATACTCTATAAAAATAGTAAAATTTGCTAATTTTTTGCATTTTGAGATGCCCCCTCTGGTAACAAGACGGTAGAATTTTGTGTTTCTTACATATATTGTATAATATAGTATTGCTCATCAAATATTATAGTTTGAACAAAATGCCTATTGTAGTATTTGTATAATTTGCTCTCAAGTGCTAAAAATTAACATTTTCCTATATAATCCTATAGTATATGTACATGTATTTTGAGACGGTCCCTCAAAAATACCTGGACGGTAGATTTCCCCCAAACTTTGCATGAACACTGAAGTTAATGTAAGTTATATATGGTATAAAAATGAAGAGTTTCGCTATTGTAGTTTTCCCACAATAAAACTATAGTCGGCCCCCTTAAATTTGATTACATGTAGCCGTATTGGTCATTTTACCTAAAAGACATATTTGTTAATTTGAGCTTTATTGTTTACGCACTAGAAAATATACATTTCTTTTACAGAAGTCAACAAAACCCTAAGTTTGTTAAAGTCGTTCAAGGTACCTAGTATTGTAATAAGATAGGTAAGAGAGGATAACTTGCATTTTAAAAAAAGTATCTGGACTAACTTTCTGATGCAAAATAATTCAAAGGTATTATGTCATTCTACGAAATTTATTGTCACAGTAATACATGTACTTGTCGCTTATCTGCGGTGATTTTCTTTGATCTTTCTGTGGTGATATATCCCATATCACATATGCGATAATACTTTCCACGCCCCTTCATATATCACTGCAGGAGGCAGAAATCAGGTCATGAGAAAAAAACTGATTTTATTTCACAAGTTCATAACTACAGAAAAATGAACATGTTTAGCTATTTCTTAGCCTTAAACTAAATAAAAATAATGTATTTAACTCAGTTGAAAGTTCCCAGTCGTTCAAAAGATTAATCCATTTTTAAAGTTACGGTAAAATATCCAAACTTTATATCGTTAAACTCCTTGATCCTTGATATAATCAATTATACTCGGCTTCTATGATGTAACCTATACTTAGTTATAGTATTTTAACATAAACTAAATCTACCAACATATTTATGTACATAACTACTTGCTGTACTTAAAATCTTGTAGAGTATTTATTAAATAAACTTTCATTTAAACTTCATGACTAAAATGTGCTTGAGTTATAGTATCGATAATTTAGATTATCATTTATTATAATCCTTACAACAAAAATACAATTTTAACCTACATCTAGAAAAATGATTGTTCCACTATAAGGTATGAAATCGAAAGTTGGGTTTTCTGAATGAAAATCCCTTGAACTGTCTTTAGAAATAAACATTAAGATTTATTTATTTTTATAACAAAGGGAAAAAAGAACTGGTAACTCATCTTACGTATCAATTTGCATTTCTTTACATTTAAAATTCTTTATTTAGCCAAACAAAAGGGAAGTCTATTCCAATTTTAGATTTTTAGTGCTTTCCAAAATAAAATACTGCTTTTCATTTTTCATTTTTTTTTTTATTTTGGTAGTATAATTGTGTAATTCTATGTGAGGCAATTTATGCACGAAATGAAAAAAAAAGAATTTTCATCCTTAAACAAGTGAAGAATTTTAATGAACAACTTTATTATGAATGATCAAGCATATATTTTGTTCATTTTTTTTAAATTATTGATGCTGGACGATTATGTATGTGTTATAATTATGTCACACAGGTATTTGAGATCAGATATCTCTTTTTAAACTCAACCATTTGGAAAAATGCCATTTAAGAAAAAGGTAGACATAAAAAAAACTCAAAAACTCAAAAATCTATACAAATATATTAAGTGGACTATGCTCTTTCCATAGGTAAATGCAACACCATCTTTACATAGTGACAATTTTTTATATTACATCGTACATTCAGTTCGAGAAACAAATGGTTTAACTACATAAGATATACCGTTGCTTACATGTACAATGCAATACTCAAAGCAAGTAGTGTGGTAAAGACTGTTCAAACAATGTTTCCAATTGTTTCCAATTAAATGTGGATATACTAAATGGGAACAGTTTTTTGGAAATTAATTCTCTCTCGAAAGTGCTGCTGCTTTAAATATAATTTGCTTTAGTAAAAAAAAATAATGTTAATAGACTCATGTCCCAGTACACAGAATTTCATGCAAAAAATCTAGCAAGATAGTTCATAAATGCACAAAAATATCTAAACGTAGTATAAGACTGAGATGAGGTCCGTCAATAAAAAAAATCACAACCCTCAAATGAATAATTAAGTTGAAATCATTACAAAGAAATACTTTTCATTTTACATGTGTGAAAATGTGAGTTTTGAAAGTCTTCACACCAAACTGTCCCTCTACACGATCAATTGTCGGATTCTGATTCCGATGTACATGTATTACCTTATCTCCTATTTGACACCGTTCACGGTAGCTCAGTCGGTACAGCGCTCTCTTCGTGATCGGGAGGCCGTGAGTTCGAATCTCGGCTGCGACTGACCTAACTCGATAAAAAAAATGGATAGCAACTGTTCCTTCGCCATGCGCTCGGCACTTTGAAGTGGAAGTTGCGGGTCCTTCGGATGAGACTTTAAAAACCGAGGCCCCGTATCAGCGTCAGGCATTGGCACGATAAAGATCCCTCACTGCTTAATGCCCTGAGTGCCGAGTAAATTTCAAAATTTGAAGCCATTCACCGGCATACGGTGACGTCTCCATATGAGTGAAAAATTCTCGAGAGGGACGTTAAACAACAAACAATTAATCAAACTTATTTGTCTTAAAAAATGCATTTGTTTCATTTTGAGATTTTATACATTTACGTTAAAATTCTGGAGTATCTATTTTTTTGGTTTAATACACAAATATTTGCAACTCAAAACTGGTGATCAAAAGTGCCGTCTTGTGACGAGAAAGGGAAGAAGGGGTGACTTGCATTATCAACAAAATGTGTTTGTGAAACACTTTTGCCCCCATATGGCAGCTAATGGCAAAGTTTTCCGAAATGTCAAATTCAAAGATCACAGTTGGAAACAGGAAGAAGGTATTTTCACTAGAAAACACCTGTAAGACAGGAAAACCTAGTAGTACTAACTACTTTTTTTATTTCTTTTAAATCTATTAATAATATTTTAAAATAAAGTTGGAAATTTGTCGTTTCCATGTATACTATTACCAAGTGGGACAGGCTGACAAACAGAGAGCTGGACGGACGGACAGACAGACGGACTCGAGAGGAAACATATTGCACTCCGGTTTCATCAGAAGGGGACTTAAGATTGTGATATTTTGATAAAATTACTTGTCACTTTTTATCGGGTGGAAGCTGTATCTTATTAGCAAAATTTAAGGGACTTCGACCCTCAGCCAGGAAGGACAACTCTTTAATTTATGATTTGATTTAAAAAGTTTTTACATGAAACTGGAAAATAAAATATTTTCATGCAACAATTTTCATTATATGCCTCTCAATGTGCTTCAAGGTTCTTTGCAAAGCTCCATAAATCACTTCTAATTTCATATCATGTTACTAAACATTGGTATCTAAAAATGCTTTTTTCGGGTTAAAAATTTCTACTTTTAATTTGACCTTTCTGAGAAGTTCTAAGAACTTTGAAGAACATTGAGAGGCATATAATTAAAATTGTTGCATGAAAAGATTTAATTTTCAATCTTCATTTAAAGACTTTTGAACTAAATTTTAAATTAAAGAGTTTTCCTTCCTGGCTGAGGGTCGGAGTCCCTTTATGCACTTTAAAAAAAAAAATTAAAAGACTGGTAGTTGGTTAATTATTACAAAAAAAAAAATTAATATAGCAGTTACCAAGGAATTATTTTTATTTACTTATAAACTATGCAAAATATGACATAAATCAGAAAACATGGACTTGTCTCCTACTGAATATTTATTACGTGAACCTTTACTTAATAAAAGTAAGCAATTTGATTTACGTACCTCTTGAACGAAACCCTTAAACCAGACATGGATATCTGTGCTTTAAGTACAGACTTTTACAGGGTACCCCCTGAGCTG